ACTGAATCTTCTGGGCATGGATTGGGAGTCATTGTAATAATTTCTAACAGTTGTAGTGGCCAGTCCAAATCCTTTTAGCTAGAAACATCTGTCAGGAAGAACGAGCCACTGGCGAAAAAACTGCGGGGGGAACTGCGCAAAAAACGCATCCTCGTACCGGCAGCCGGTACGCTTTCTACTAGGTTACATTTTATTGAAAAACTACGCATATCACCTCACAAATTTACGCTTTTATGCATTACACTTTCGGGTTTCACACGAATTATTCGTCAACGTGCTGCTGTATCATATAAGCTTAACACATAGCATAGCTCTTTTTCGGAATGCTGCTAGTTAGGGTCAGCCATTCTTTGGCACTGCTTAGGCCATTGCCACTTCCATACCACACAGTGTGTGGTATTGGGTAGAAATATATGAAAGATGCCAATTTTCACAATCGAAATTTCTCTCACCAAACACAATAACACTTTGTGGCTGTGAATTGATGCATTTCAGCTCCTTCTCTTCCTCTCCCCATGCCGCGTTTTTGGCGTGCCAACTGCCTGTGGATGGTATCTTCTGTTGGGCTGGACAGGGAACCCATCGGACGGAAAAAACTTCAAGATAGTAATTTAATACTCGACAGTGTTCAGTTTACTTAGCCCATGAGAATTTTTCAGTACTTCTTCGCTTCCATTTATATTTCGTTTCCATCATCGCCAAAAAGCTCTTTCCATAATCCATAATTTTTTTTTCGTAACCTCTTTTTCCATATTTTTTTTTCTCTTGATATTAGCCTGCGTTACACTTGTGGTTAACATACGACCAAAACGACTTTTCTTCCAGTACTGGCTGCCGGTCAGACTAACAGTGGCTTGTATCGTCTAAGCTAGGTGGGACAAAATGCAACACATCGTTTTTATATAAATTTTTTTTATTATTTTTCCAAAATTTTATCCTTTTATTTTTATTTGAAATTACAACCTATTCTTTTATACAGAGTTAATTTATTTTTGCTATCAGGCCCACAAATACTGCACTGACGAGGCCTGGTCGTAGTGCTGAATAGAAAATTCAAAAAAAATAATGAGCCGAAACAAAATTACTGAATAGGAATACGATTTTATATTTTTAATATGCATACATACATATGTCATGATGATTAAAGTCTCTATTATGCCTGGAGCTGCCAAGGTTTGTGCTCCATCACATTCGGGCGCTGCTAGGTTCCTTACCACTGCAACATTGCAGTGAGGTGTGTCTGGGTCGAAATCTGAGAATGACCATCCTGGCCATTTTATTAAAATTAAAAGTTATCTGTACAAGTTTGATTTTTTCCTGTTTTTTGCAGTAAAAAAAGCTTCCCGGTGAGTAACAACATTTGTGAATAGTTCTTTTAATGTGAACATTGTGGTTTATTTCATCATAGCAAATCGTTATTTTCAAACTTTGTCAGTTGCACAGAGAGGAACAATTAACGCTGAGTATGGGGTTTAGAAAAATACTATTTCTAAAAAGCAGATAAAAAATCTTGCGTCTTTCGCTTGCGATAAGTAAACAACGATATCTGCTAATTAGGTAGGGCACGAGGAGTGTTTGTCGATTTAAGCACCCGCCTGAGTGTTGCTTTGAAGTAGGTAAAACTCGTCTGGCTTATAAAGTGGTTGCTAGAGTTTTGTTGCACACTCCCCTCATTTGCAGCTGCCACTTCCATTAGTATTGGCCACTGAGCCTATTTACTTGGCTTTCTACATTTAACGTTAGTGCATGCATTTTGTTCATGGTGCTACGAAGCAGTAGGTGATGGCGCGCGCACTGAAAAGCCTCAGCTATTGCTGATGCCGTTAAACAGAGCCTGGCATATCCCCTATATTACTCACTTATATGTAGTACTTTCGGCGCCCGAAAAAGCCGGAATTTACTAGCCATAAAAATAGTATGAATCGTTCATCCGGGCGCACTTTTGATGCTTTAAATTGCGACCGGATAAGCAAACAACCATAGTTTTCAATAATTTTAAAAAGAGGTTATTTCAGGTTGTGGTGGAATTAAAAAAAGGCACTTAGCGTCGTTATGCTAATTTACGATAGTCACGAAAAGAAGCAAGACTCTGATGAGTGCAACAAATGCGAACGTGAAGTGCGTCTCGAACCAGATACAGCAGTCAGTGGTGTATTAGCTTTCAGGCTTGCAGGCAATCGTACACGTGGTGTTTTCGTGCGACAGGTTAATCAGAAATCAGAGCAGGTATTCCTCATACAGCTACAAAAATTAATCATTTTAGCTCGTATTTTTAAGGCCATTATCCTGATAAAATCACTTGAGAAACGTAGAGCACAGCAGAATGGCTCCCAGCATTATCGATCTAATCCCTCATTTCTGCAAATCCCCCGCCACGTCAAGAGCGTCAACTTCAATTGCTTTCACTTTGACTAGCATATTCCTCATTTCTAACCTAATTTGAAAAACGGATAATTCAACAGGTTATTGCATATTCCACATCTCAATAAGTTTTGAAGGTATAACTTGGCAAAAAATAACACACAATTATTTTTTTATATGAAAGGTAATGCTGCAGAAAAATTAATCAGCTAAGCGGGAATGTTTCGGTCCATTAAGTCGCCTACTATCATTCACTCACTAACACTGAATCTGGGCTTATGAATCTGTTTCTACTTCTGATCTCTTATTTTCGAGTTACACATTGTTTGCGGTTATTCGTAACCTTGTATGGCATTTACACAAAAACTTGCATATCACGAAAAAATGTGTGCATGTATGTACGTGCGTTGTTTTTAATACGGTTACTGCCTCATGTGAACAGAATTGAACAGTTTTATAAAATGAAAGTTCAGCTTTGAAATTCTTTTTGTTCTATTAACAAAGTTCTTACATATTCAGAGCTTGCAGCTTCAAAACAGCCATATACAGGACTGCTAACCGTAAAATTAACGCTGTTGGTTTAACTGAATTTTAGCCGTTTATTTTTCTTCCTTAGTACCAACTAATACAGGAGCCTTTTTTATTACAGATCGAATATTTTGTTGCTTTGATTTTTTGGACACTCCTGGCTTTCCAAAGTAGCAAATTTACCAAACTTCTATCCTTACGCTTCGCTGTACTATATAGCCAGTGATAATACACTTACCAAAACAACAAAAAACGGCCGCAAAATGATTTTCGGAAAAAAAAATTTTTTTCTATGTTCAGTACTAATTATTTCCATGTTGCAGTCAAAAATCCTTCGCAGAGGTGATCAGATTCTGGAAGTTAATGGAATAAACGTGCGCAGACTAACATGTGACCAAATCGCTAACATGCTACGTCTAGCTGTATACAACAATGGTTATGCTCGGTTACAGGTTTCTTGAATTTCTGTACCAGATAAAGGCTTGATATGCTTTAGCGTAGTGAACAGCACCGGGGACACTGCGTTATCTCTGATACCGCCTAACCAAATAACATTCTAAGCGTCGCTTTCACCTCGACAACTCATTCAGGGCAAAAGTCGCAAGCGGCTGCTAAGAAGCAAGTGGATTATTGAAGCACCTCCTTGATAATCAACAAAAAAAATCAGTTTTAATTAATAAATCAATAATAATCACAATGAAAAGTAAAAAATGATTAACGAAAATCGATAAACCAATAAAACTCGGCAATAATCACTAAAAATTAATAATAGTTGATGAGAAATCAGTAATAATCAAAAATAAAAATGAACTATTGCTATCATCAGTGATCAGGTCACATCTGTGTGTTATTGTTCTCAAACAAAGAAGAGTACTGAAGAGATGAGCAGAGAAAAGTTAAGATACTGCAGATTAAGCTCCTACAGCATCTCATTTGCTTTGCGAGGGCTGCGAGTAATAAAAGGTGTTTCGTCCGCGAGGCATAAATGATCTTGTTGCTCGTCGCTGATCACTGAACCATCTTTCCAATCTTGCTTCGTGAATACGATTTCGAGGGCGGGCTGTGGAAATCTTGGGCGATGCGGGTTCTCCTTGCCTAACATCCTTCTTGACCGGCATATGGATAAGTGGAAAACCAAGGTTGGAACGCACCAGGTGGGCCGGTGCGATTATGCGTTTTTGCACTTTTCGTGCCATAGCAAGATCGCAAGGGATCACAGTAGCTAACCCCGTGGCATACTGGCCCTCGAAGTTCGGGAAGTTAATTGTGCAGTTATGTGGTATGTCAGTTGTAGATGTCGACTTCAATTGACTCGATAAATGGAAAGTTGCTGGTCTGCGAAAAAGGCCGCACTAGAAGAGTTAAATTTGGCATTCCCTTAAAATTTAAACATTCAGCTTTCCCCGTTCCCGAGTCAGCAGTTTTCCTACCAAAATTTTCATGTGTCCGTACGTGAGTACCGGACGGTTTTAAGAAGCCGAATCTGAAATCTTTTGGCCATACATGAATAAGGGAGATTACCCTAAAGTTTCAGCTTTCTAGCTTTTTTCGTTCCCGTGTTATTGATTTCCGCGCCAAAATTTCTGCCTGCCCGTACGTGGGCCCCGAGTGCTTCTAAACACCTGATTTCGGTCGTGCATGAGTAGAAAACATTTCCCTAAAGCTTCAGCTTTCTAGCTTTTCCCGTTCCCGAACTAGTAATTTTCGCGCCAAAACTTCCACGCGCTCGTATGTGGGCCCCGGGCGCTTCTAAACACCTGATTTCGCACGTGCATGAATAGGGAACATTCCTCTAAAGTCTCAGCTTTCTAGCTTTTTGCGTCCCTGGGTTAGTGATTTCCGCGCCAAAATTTCCACGTGCCCGTACGTGGGCCCAGGCACTTCTAAACACCTGATTTTGCTCGTACATGAGTAGGGAGCATTACCATAAAGTTTCAGCTTCCAGCTTTTCCCGTTTCCGGGTTAGTAATTTTTGCACCAAAATCTTCACGTGCCCGTACATAAGCCCCGGATGGTCTTAAGCAGCTGAGTTTGAAAACTTTTGGTCATGTGTGAGCGGGGAACATTCCTTCAAAGTTTCAACTTTCTAGCTTTTCTCATCCCCAAGTTATGAATTTTCTCGTCATAATTTTCATGTGCCCGTACGTAGGTCCCGGGCAGTCCTGAGCAGTTGGATTTCTTTTTGTTAGCTTTCTGGCTTTTCTCGTTCCCGAGTTAGCAATTTCCCCGCCAGAACTTTCACGTGCTCGTATGCGGGGCCCAGACGTATGAGTTGATACCGGGGTCCTGGGATGGCACTTGGCTAGGGAACACACCGGCAAAATTTCAGCTTCAAAGCTTGCGTGGTTGGCGAGTTGAAACACCCAGACAGACGAACACACACACACATACACACTGACAGGGTCGTTGCAATATGCGTTTTTTGTGCCTGTTGCAGCGCTCTAGCGCTGCACGGCAAAAACGCATAAAAAATGCGATTCTGTCAAAGCAGCCTACACTCGTTTCCTTGACAATTTCCACATGGCGGACTGGAGTCCTTGATCTTTCGCACAATAGCAGCTTTATGTGCTGCTGTTTCTTATGCATCAGCTAATTTTTGTCTGTATATTTGAAATAAACTGATTGTAAAACCAAGCATAATTCACAGTAAAAAACTTAATTTAGATTGGCACAAGTACTCGCTCGAGGCAGTGGGCGGATGGAAGTAGCAGAGATGAGAACTGGAATATTCATTACTACTACCCGATAGCATCGCATGAGAATAGCGCTTTGCCAATGTCTACTTCCGACATGACCGGCCTGTGCAAATCGAAGCTCCAACTACAGGCAATCTTTGCTGAACATGCAAACCAAAGCATTATCTTTCACGAACCACTATGTCATAAAGAGAAAGAAAGACCTAGACGAGACAAGAAACCGTTTTGCGAAGTGAAAAATTAGTGCA